GTAAATATTATGCTTAGGCGAATAAGTCAGCCAGAAAGGACAAATACCTATGTTATCACTTATATGTGGAATCTAAAAAAATAAAACAGCAAACATATGGAACAAAACAGAAACAGACTCAATACATAGAAAACAAACTAGCAGTTACCAGTGGGGAGAGGGAAGGGAGGAGGGGCAAGATAAGGGTAGGAGATTAAGAGATACAAACTACTATGTACGAAATAAATAACAAGGATACATTGTACAGCACATGGAAATACGGCCATTATTTTGTAATAACTTTAAATGGAGTAAAATGTACAAAAATACTGAATCACTACTTCATACATCTTAAATTAATATAATATTATAAATCCACTATACTTCAATAAATAAATAAATAAGACAAGAGGTCAGAGGGGAGGGTTCATTCTGATTTATACATGGTACTAGTCCCCAGGAGACTCAGGCCTGAGTCCAAAATGTAGGACCTATAGTACAATAAAACAGTTGCTTTACTATCATAGCTGTGGGACATTGAGACCGCATGGCCATAGGAGCCTGCCTACCAGCAGCAAGACACATCACCCTCAAAGTAGATGAGGAACTATACAGTCAAACACTTCTAGGGACCAGGCAACTATTAAAAATGAGCAAGGGATTTAAGAGAAGACAGTGGTAAACTGAAGACTGTAGGCTTCACCAGCAGGAGGCAGCCCTATTCAGCTCCAGAGGATTGTTGCCATAAGAGAGTGAAAAGCTACTGCTGTCAGAACTTCAAGAGAACGAATTCCAGAATGTGCAAAATAAAATCTCCCAGTTTTTAAATGTTAGCAATCAATTCAATTTCTTAAAACCATTGTGCTAGCCTTAAAAATCACATCCATGGTCAAATCCATGACCTATGAAGTAGAGATAGTGCCCTCAGCATGATGAAAAGTCAACAACACTAATAGTACTGGTCATGCCTGCATCACACATCAGCAATGACAGTCATGAATACAAGCAATGGTAACATACTTGTGACCATCAGTGGTGATCAATACAACAATGGCAGCACAGCTGCTGCTTTTGATGTTCAATTATTCTGCAACTCCTCCAAGAAATCTGAACCACTCCTGGAGGAAAAAAAAAATGCATACATACAACCATGTTGACTGGTCTCAATTTATATTCATTACTAATCTAAAGTGGTTCCTTATTGCTACCTGGTAATGATATATACACATAATATATACATGTGAATACATGTATGTATGTATACACACACACACAATATTAAGTATTGTGTTATTCCCCCAAATAACTATTTTACACCAACCTCTCACTCCTCAAATCTCCAACACTCTGCTAATGACTGCTTCCTATTTCACTGAAAACGTAAGAAGCATTCAAAAAATAACTTCCACATGCTCTGACCACCACATCTAACATCCTACCTACATCTGTATCCATATATTTTCTTTTCCCTCCAGTTACTATGGCTACCTTTATCTATCAAATCTCTCCACTTGGTACTGGATCCCATCCTCTCTAGCCTTGTACTCAAAGCCCTTGCTCCACCAACTGTTCCCCTTTCTCTCCTTACATCATCAACTGTCAACTTTCTCTTTCCACTGGTCACTTCCATCAGCACACTAACATGCCATATAATCTGCATCTGTGGTAGGCAGCCTCTAAGATGGCCCACAGTATTAACATTCTTGGAATGTCCCCTCCTACATTTGACTAGCGTTGTTCTGTGTGAACAACAGAATATGGCAGAAATGGTAGTACATAGTCTGTTAACTAATTTTGTATCTTTCCCCTTGCTTTTATGTATTTTACATTTATTTAATAAATCATGTGATATAAACATTTTGTCCATAACCCTTTTTTTCCCATGACCTTTGGGATGGCTTGCCTGCTAGTGTACTGAGGGTCTACGGTTGCATTAGAGTAATTTCCCACAAGACAGGTTTTCATCTTACTCTAAAAACAGTATTTGAGAGCTACCTTCTCTTTTGAAACATCTTCCTTACTTAACCTCCAGGTCACTACTTAAGGTTCTTCTCCTATCTCACTGGCAATGTGTTCTCCATCTCCTCTGATGTGCTAGGACCACTTTACTACTCCCTAGATAGCACATCCAGGCTCACAATTTTAAATAACATCTGCAGACTGATGAGTCCCAAATTTATCTCGCCAGCCCCTATATGTTACCTAAACTCTAAAAATTTAAAACCAAACTTTTACTCTCCACCTCAAAACCTATTCCTCTCTTGGACCATTGCTATGGTCTCCTAAATGGTCTCCCCAATTCCCACTTTAGACCCACTTCAGTCTACTCTCAACCCAGCAGTCAGAGTGAGCCTTCCAAAACATAAATCAAATCATATTAATCCTCTGCTCAAAACTCATGTTGGTCTTCCCAGATCCATCACCGTAAAATCTGAAACCTATGACTTCCAAGGCCTCATCTGGCTTGTCCCCAGCTCTGCCTCTACCACTAATCAGCTCACTCACTCAGTTCTAGCCACATTAACCTTCATGTCATTATACAAACACCCCGAACACCTTTCCACTTCAACATCTTTACTCACTACTCCCTCATTCTGGAGTGCTCTTTCCCCAAATATTCACATGGTTTGCTCACTCTCATCCTTCAGGTCACTGCCCAAATATCACCATAACAGAGAGGATTTTCTGTGTAAGTTTTTATAAATACAAACTTCCACCTACCCACTCAACCACCCCCATTCGTAGCACTCCCAATATTCTTTTCCTGATTTTTCTCCATAGTTCAGACCACCACCTGATACATATTTATTGTTTTATGTTTTCATTCCTGTCTCTCTTACTATACTTTAAGCTCCATGAGGTCAGCAATGTCTATATTGTTTATTTTACATGACTAAAACCAACAGAATGCCTAGCACACAGAAGGTACTAAACAAACATTACTGAAAAAAATAAATGAATGAATAACAGTAATAGGAGACACTCCCACAGTGAGTCTTAGCAGCAAGGGAGGGGAGCTTCACATGAAGGCAAGAGGACTGGTTAAAGAAGCACCCAAAGGTCTCACAAGTCCAGCAGACACCCAGAACTATTTGGGAGAAGGGCTATAATACCAGAAAGGCCAGTAAGAAAAGGCCATAGAAATACTGTTTTGCAGTAGTCATGACCCTGATAAGAAAAAATTAACTGATAGGAAAAAAGAATAACTTTACCACAGAGAAACCTGGAAGACACCCTCTCAACCAAGTGATCAAAATAACATCACCAGTAACTGGACAAATAAACATACATGCATGCTTCCTAATATAATACATTGACAGCACAACATAACTTCTATGGCATCCCTGCCAAAAGCACATAACCTGAACCTAATCATGAGAAAATGTAAGAAAACCCCAAAATTGAGGACATTCTATAAAAGAACTGGCCTGTATTCTTCAAAAACGCCAATGGCATGAAACACAAAAGACTCAAAATATGTTCTAGATTAAAAGAAACTACACAACTGAATGCAATTCATAATCCTGGATTTTATTTTGCTAGAATCAACATTATTGGGATGATTGGCAAAATGTGAATATAATCGGTAGCTTACAGTATTCTATCAATGCTGATTTCCTGACTTTGATAATTATGTGATTGTGTAAAAGAATGCCCTTGTTCTTTGTTCTTAAGAAATATACATTGAGGTATTAGGGGTAGAGCTGAACATTTTGTCTACAATTTACCCTCAGAGAGGTGAGGAAAAAATTATTATGTGACAGAAGATAAAACAAATATAGCAAAATGTCACCATCTTGGAAATCTGAGTGACAAGTATATGGAAATTTTTTCTATTACTCATAACTTTTCTATAAGTCAGAAATTATGTCAAAATAAAAAACTTTAAATAAAGTACAACAAAAATGTTACATAAAAAAGGTTCAAAATTCATAATCAGGAAAAATATTTTTAACATATTACAACATATTATATGTAATATGTAATTACACATTACATATAAAAATATGTTCAACATATTTAGATTTTAAAAGATGAACTCTACAAATTCTCCTTTCAAGTTCAAAATTTTAAAGTGTAACTATTAAAGAAGAAACTATAATACCACTAGACTTCAACAATAACTTTTTAAATAATACATTCTACTAGACTAACATACTAGACGTTTTCCTGTATCTGAATTTCAGTTAAAAACTAGAAATAGGGGGCTTCCCTGGTGATGCAGTGGTTGAGAATCTGCTTGCCAATGCAGGGGACACGGGTTCGAGCCCTGGTCTGGGAAGATCCCATATGCCGCGGAGCAACTAAGCCCGTGCGCCACAGCTACTGAGCCTGCACGTCTGGAGCCTGTGCTCCACAACAAGAGAGGCCGCGACAGTGAGAGGCCCGCGCACCGCAATGAAGAGTGGCCCCTGCTCGCCGCAACTAGAGAAAGACCCCGCACAGAAACTAAGACCCAACACAGCCAAAAATAAATAAATAAATAAATTTATTAAAAAAAAAAAAACTAGAAATAGGGCTTCCCTGGTAGCGCAGTGTTTGAGAGTCCGCCTGCCAAAGCAGGGGACACGGGTTCGTGCCCCGGTCTGGGAAGATCCCACATGCCGCGGAGCGGCTGGGCCCGTGAGCCATGGCCGCTGAGCCTGTGAGTCAGGAGCCTGTGCTCTGCAATGGGAGAGGCCACAGCAGTGAGAGGCCCATGTACCGCAAAAAAAAAAAAAAAAAAAAAAAACTAGAAATAATGCCATGATGGAAAATATCATAACAATGACCTTCAAAGGAATACTGATTTCCATACAGTAATAATCTATTTTAATTTTTTTAAACACATTTTAAATGAACATAATCTGAAAAACAACACCCATTATACTTTGAAAATTCAGTATGTCTTATTTCAGTTCAAATATAAAATATTACAGGAAAACCTTAGTATAGTACATATGTAAAGTAGCTGATATTACTTATATAAATGCAGTATCAACCAGCCATTTCTAAAAGGAAACAAAACAAAGCAAAATTACCTTCATGGACTGTAATGCCACAATTGTCACACTGAATTATTTCATCAGCATCCTCACTATTATCTCCAAGACAAACACAGCAAATCAGAATATGGTCCATTTTTTGAGAACTCCAGTTTTGACTCTTCTCAAGAATCAGCGAGTCCTAATATTAAAATATCAGAAAATCACATATTTAAAAGGTAATTTTAATAAATAAAATTTGCACCTTAAATCATTTTATGCATTTCCAAAATTATGCCGCATACTCCATTATTTTAGTAATTTCAAAGTATGCTACGTTTGAGAAGTGAACCTCTTTGTCAAAGGACCCTCTAAGCACCCTCTCTCTAATTTTTCACTTCTCTGCAAGTCCCATATTCTCTCTCCTCTAGGAAATATAAAACCAAGCTTATAAACAACAACCCTTCATCTGCTTTGCCATTCTGGATATAGTCTGACCCTTGAAACTACAAGAAAGGAAAAATTAACCCATAAGTAATTACTAACCCTATATATGCGTTTTAAAAGTATAAGACATGTTTCCTACACTTAGGAAGCTTATAATCTTATCTTGGGGAGACAAGACACACACATATTAAACAGTAAAAAAAATCAAGATAACGTATAAGCAAATATATATGCGATGGCATATTACAGACTATACTCCTTTAGTGCTGGGGAATCCAGAATTTCCAGGGTCATCAAACCACTGGATGACAGATCCATGAAAGCCTGCATAGGAAATCTGTGTATACAGGTACAGAAAGCCATCTAAAAAAGAATCCAGATTGACTGATTGCTAGAAGAGTCAGAGTACCCTATTAGGTTTATGTCAAGAAATATCTAGTGAAAACTGGTAATAAAGATACCTAGTTAATTGTAATATAAAAGGAGAAAGGAAGATGTATTAATGAATATAAAAAAATAAAGGGAAGAGTGTGCTCCATTTAATTTAAACCTTCGGCATTATGAATTTAAATGACAAATTAACATGATGATGATTCTTGTCATATTTAACACACTGGGCTCAGCATTACATATAATAAAAGATGGCACTTGAGTCTATATATTTTCATTTAAGAACCTAACCATATTCAGAAACAAAATAAATTAGTTTCACATCACACATTAACTATATTGTTTCATATTAACATTTTTATATTTCTATATTCTTTTAAACTGATCAATATCCAAAAGTAACCTTTAGAGTCATTTCAATAGCAATTTGTAAATAACATTTGAAAGACACATGACTGTCACAATAACATTCTTTCAATATATTTTCTGTGTAATAAATCTAAACTTGCAGCTGAAATAAAAAACAAATCAAAAAAGAATGCAAAAGTTAACAAGGAGGCATCATTTCTCTTGAGAATTCTAGTACTTTAAAATTTTGTATTTTGCTCCTTTTTGTTATAAAACCAAAGTATCAATAGTTTGGGGCTTTGGAGATGGCTAGCAAATAAAGATTAAAACTTCCTAAAAAGAAAACTCATGTTTTAAAGTACTTTAGTACAGTAAGCAAAACAAAAATCTGCCCAGATTTTCATCCCATTAGCAATGCTTCAAATGTAACAGCATTTGCCTTAAAATCAAATGTTCTTGGGTTTCATTCTCAGCTCTCACTTAATAGCTACTGAACCTCGAAGCTGTAGTTTTCTCATCTGTAAAATGGGATGATAAAAATAATACCTACCTCATCAAGTTGTTGTGAGACTTAACAAGATAATGTATGGTAAGAATGTTCCTGAGACACACTAGGTACTCAATAAACGTTCATTCCCATTCTCCTTTCCTCTGTACTTCTTTGTAGGTGATCCAAAAAGAGAAACATGAGCTGACCATTTATTACACTGGGGAATCTTCCTTGGAACCCCAAAAGGAAGGTTATAAGCCTCAATGAACACTGGTACTTTAAATATTTTCCCATGGTTAAGTCCAAAAAATTTTTTCTTAAAGTACCACATCTAGGTTAAAAAAAATCACAGACCAGAAAAAGATCTAGCAAACAACCAGAGTTTGATGACTGAGAGGCTACTCATGTTTATGGGCTCTGCCAATATTTCCCTGGTGGAACTACAACAACTAATCAGCCGTTGAAAAAAAAGGTTTACCCATGTGAGAAACAAGTAAATGTCTATGGATCAGAAAAACTGGCATCAACAGATAGTTCTATTCCATTATTTTCCTATTTGGCCATTTTCCTCAGAAAAACAGTAAATGTCTAAATTATCTCTATTCCATTTTCTCTCTACACATATTATCATTTAGAGGCAGAGAAAACAAAATTAACTGGCAATTTTGACCCTCTGATCCCCATTATTTGAGACTCTTACTAGACATTAAATACAAACAGATAGAAATGGGGATAACTTAGAGTCCTACAATATTACCCTAACCAAATGGCTGACAATGTTTCAATGGGAAAATCTAAACAATACATCCTCTTAAAAAGTTATCTAGGTTGTCTTCAATAGATCAAACATGGCTTGAAGCGCACTTCTGATCAGAATACAAAAGTCAATTTAGTATCAATTTTTAATAGCGTATTTCTGAAGATATATCATTTTTCAAGTTTCTGGAGAAAATATTTAAGCTAAAGTTTTTACCACAAAATACATCATTTGAAAATATGATTTTCACATAAAATAGAATTTGGGAAAATGGGTTTTGAATGGCAAATCTAGGATATAACTTTAATATTATGAAATAATTTAATGGACTCTAATGGTAATCATTAAGATTAAATGGGGCACTATAGTAATAAATCAATGACTCCTTATTGTAAATTATTTCATTTTTCTCCTTGGGATTTAAAATTTACACCAAAAATGATTCTGCCCAATGTTTTTTATCAGCTCTCAAATATGTTTAGTGTCCAGTTATATATGTATTCCACAAAGATTATTATAAATAACATATACAACAGGGTAAATTCTAACTAAGCTATATGTGTGTTTAATAGGAGGAAATTCCAGCACCCTTCATATAAAACCAGAATTAAAAGAATCCTATTGCTCTGAAAATGAGAAAAAATTATTATACCAAGTTTGACCAATAGTTCTTCCTAGAAGTTTTTAAAGAAGGTTAAATTTTCAAGAATCTAAGTAATTTTTGTACAATGTTACAAATTGATTTTTTTTTTAGGCTTTCGAGCACTTTGTTTTATTTTGAAATGTGTAAAAAGACAAATGATTAATAAGTCAGAAGCCCCCAAAAGAAATGGCTATTTAAAAATTTTGGCAAAATGTTTACATTTTAATTAGCAAAATTCAGATGACAATTGCTATTTCTTCACATGGCAAGACATCTAATCTATTTAACATTACGAAAAAAAACACAAAAAACTTCCACCTGAAAATTTATACTGAGATGATTTTCTATCATATACTAATTCTCATTCAAAGCTCTAGTTTCAAAGTCCTGAAAATGGGAACCATTATCTGAAAATACTATACAGCCCTCCCCAAAAAATTTATTTCAGAAAACTAAAGGCAAGATAACCTTGGTGAATCTCAAAAACTTCAAGATAAAAGTTTGAAAAAGACATGTAACCATATTCCAACGGGATTGTTTCAGATAGCACTAAAATGCCATAATGCCACTGACAAAGGTATATATGCCCATGTGAAGAAAATGCAGGCTATCAAATGCCCAAATCTAGAACAGTAGTTCCCAAAGCGTGGTCTGGGGAACTCTCTTCCAGGGGATCCAAAAGGTAAATACTAAAGATATTTGCCTTTTCACTCTCTCTCATGGTGTATGGTGAAGATTTCCAAAAGTTACATGACACGGGACGGGGTCATCAATCTAATAACTTTTGTGTTTCTATACATCTCATTTTTTTAAATTTCTGAGTTTTAATTGGAAATGGCAAATATCAAAAGATATAACCTATATGAATAATAATCGGGGTCCTCAATTTTTAAGACTATAAAGGTGCCCTGAAGCAAACAGTTTGAGAACCACTGCTCTAGAGCATTTCAAGGCCTACAGCATAGGCATGGTAAGACCATTAAGAGCCAATAATTATAAAAGGCCTCCACTCAAAAAAAAAATGTCAAATTCCCCTAAGAAATTTCAAAATTACGAAAAGTTCCTGGGCATCGCTTACATGATACCCAACACCATACCCCTACAAAAGCACCTGACATAGCACCCAAGAAAAAATTTCCTGCTTATAGACTAAATACAATTCTATTATGTATTCTAAAACCACATTTTCAGCTATCTCTATTAAAAAGTAGTATTTGAAAACAAAGTAAAAGCATAGAAAAATAAAACTTCAAATATAATCAAATATATACATATTAACTAATGAACACTTGGCAAGGTATCACTACCTAAAATAACCAGGAAGCTTAAAATACAAACATTGGCCAGAAGACAACAAGGATTACCTTTAGTCATCTTTTTTATAAAATCAAGATTATAAGAACAGGAAATTTAGAAATATAAAATAATTTCGATTAGTTCTTTCTTAAAATTTAATATCTAATTTAAATGACATTTATATAGGACTAGAATCATCAAAAATTACTGAAGAGTTTGAATAACAGTCTTGGAAAAAAACAGTTATCAAGCTTTCAGGTAGAATATTATTGAGGGAAAATTAACCTTATATAAATTCTTCTACATTTCTGCATAGGGTAGAGCAAAAGGAAAATTAACATAAATTAAGACAAAAGGAATTAATTTAGTTACTATAAGAAGGATCTTCTTAACAACTGTATCAAGGCACTTATCCAAGAAATGCCCTGGAATCTCATTCCTTTCGGACTATTAACCTAAATAAATAAAGTCCCATTATTTACTAAAATCTCTTCTGTTTAGTAGGAAAAAAACTAAACAGCGCATGTGGCCTTTAAATGCATCATAAAGGATAGTCTACAATCTCTTAAGCAATTTGTTATGTATTACAGATTATTAACAAATGGATAATTTGTATACATTTTACATGGCAAATTTCTAGACATATGCAGGTGTTCCCCCACACCTTAGCATAAATCTAATCCATACTGCCTCTATCCTAGCCAGCCTCCTTTTATGAATGTCAGGCTAATAAAAATGAAGAACGTGATACTGCAGAAGGTAAACTTAGTCAGTAGATACAGGTTAGTATTAAGTGCTATAAAATAAACTGGATACATGTTTAAATCAAGTATGAACAATTAGATTTTCCATACTTCTGTTTCCTTAAATTGGAAATATGGAACTGTCTGTGCTACATCATTATGAATACTATACTATATTCCAAATGACGATTTTCCTTTACCTAAAGATAGGAATTAGGTAAGCACTGGAATCAGGCAATGTCCTTCTTAAGAACATGGGCAACCTGGAAGTTAACCAATGTTTATAACGTAAAATATAAACTGCTTCTTCTCTACTGACATACAACACCTCTTAATCTGCTATGTATTATTTTGGTAAAACACTGAATTTTTTAATGAAATTTAAAATAGAAAATCACTGCTATGTAAAATTTGTAAACAGAAAAAATGTAAAAGAATAAAGCATAGAAGGAAAATCTTTCTACCAATTTAACCTATTTCAATAATATGAAAAAACAAAAAAATAAGTGCTTGTTAAAGAAGTGAATTTTTAAGACTATAAACACATTAATGGCATGACAGACTTACTATAGTTCTACATGTGATGTAACAGGTACATCGACATGTAAGACGACAACTCAATCTTTCTTTTGAAGAAAAACATATACATAAACACACAGACAAAGAGACACAAATGTGTTTGACTGAAGAGTCTTGAATGTTGCATCTTGGGCCCAATGGATAAACCTAACTTTCAGTAGTAGAACTTCAAGTGGAAGAACTGAGTCATTACTGTAGTTTTATGATAGTAATGTTTGTTTTAGGATAAGAAATGTTTGTTTGTTTTCATTTCTTTGTAGAGAGAACTTATTCACTAAAAATATGTAAATATATAGTTTGTATTTACTCCCATACATCTAAAGCAAAGATCTGGTGACTATTCAGATGGGTGCTACAACTGAAAAAGGAATTAACCTTTAAAATGAATCTCTAAAAGCCTGAGACAATCATTAAGTTGTTTGTTGCCCTGCTCAAAAGTATTCTAAAAGTCTAAATTTTTATGCGGATATGGATGTAACTAAGTTGAAAGAAAGGTGATCTTTGTTTTCATAATCCACTCAGCACCATTCAGCAGTCCTATGAACAATGGAGTGAGAGGATAGAAAAGGGAAAGGAAAACTCTACTATTTCTCAAGGGTATGGACATAGAAATATTTCTCTAAGAATAGAGACTGAGCTCCTTGAGGACGGTGATTGTGAGCTCCTTGAGGACGGTGACAAACAGCAGATACTCAATAAAGGCGGGCTGACCAAATGAATAAATGTTACAGTTAGGGTGCTCACTCACTACCACAGCTGTCTATAACAGGATTTCAAGGAAGCCACTTAATGTAACGGGTATAATGGTTTAGAGAAGAATTCCCTTTTCCCCAGACAGACAGATATCATAAAAATTGGGTTGATCTACCTCATTACTCTTGCTCTGAGATAGTGTCAGGCTATCATTGGTCAGTTCCTCATCATCAGCACTGTTTCTGCTAAGAACTTTACTCTTCTTCTTCTTGCAACCCCCTTCACTGGCAGGGCTGCTATGATCTTCATCATTGCCTTCATCATTCTCATCCTCATCACTCCCACTTCCCTCATCTTCATCATCCTCATTGTCTCCATCACTTCCTTCCTTCTGAGATGCACATCTTCCCTTTCTTTTTACTACAGTGGGTCGCCAATCATTGTCATCTTCACTATCATAGTCATCCATGTCATTCAGCTCTTCCATGGATACAAAATCTAAAAGTGGTCGGTTGCGACGAAGGTTCCACTTTTTTGGCTCACTGACTTGCTCCTCTGTAGTTGTTGTCGTGGGGACTGAAGGAGATGTGTTAGCAGCAGGAGGACTTGTGGCTGGTGTGGTGGAAGCAGCAGAAGCAGCCACGTTATCAGATGTTGTTGCTTTTTCTTTATCCTTCTCTCTCTCCTTCTCTTTATCTTTTTCTTTCTCCTTCTCTTTTTCCTTTTTCTTTCTAGGTCTCTCTCCATTCTCTTCTTCCTCCTTCTTTTCCACTTTAATTAACTGTTTTTCTGATGATAGTATTTCTTCCTCTGCAGAATTTTTAAGTTCTTCTTTTACTTTAATATCTTCATTCAGTTCTTCCTCTAAAATATTTTCTTCAGAATCACTACAGGAACCTTCTCCACTGTCCTTTGAAGGATCTTCACTTCCATTACCACTCCCTTCAGAATCTGTTGAAAATATGAGAAAAAAAAAACCACACATATGTATATACATACACACACACACACACACAACGCTGACACAAATGAAACCACCAAAATTTGTGAATAACTTGCAAAACAATATAAACAAATTTAAGTCAAAGAATGGTAGACGTTCCCAACCTGATTAAATAATAAATCAATGAAGCTGGAATAATGGTTCCAGTTCAATATAGCACTAATGAAGATGAATATATGTAACTCTAAACTAAAATAGGCTTTAAAACGAGGACCACTATTTTGCGTCATACATCTCACGCTATACTTGGTACCCTAGAGGCAATTTTTTTCAAAAAGTAAATGTGCTTCTTTTTAAATTGAGCACTTGATTTTAACTTTATGATAATGTAATACATACCAAATTGTTCTTCTCTTACATCTTTCTTTCATAAATTATATGGACTTACATGCATTGAGTCACATTCAGAACAAGAAAAATATGACCCAAAAACTTTGTTCCGTTTATCTCACTCTTTACCCAGCAAAAATGAACATAGATATTTATGACAGTCAATTTGTACCACATCCCTAATATACCCATCAATTTTAGGATCACCAAATACACAAGTGAAAAACAGACAATAGCAATGGCACAGAAAATGGAAGTTGCAAGATAAGTTATCAATTTTTCTGATTAGGATACTGTTCATATCAATAAAAGAGTTACCTAAACTTCCAAAAATTCTAGGCAGTAACTACTACAGACCCTAGAATGAAAGAGATTAATGCATTTTTTTAAAACCTAATCCATCTCAGAAATGAGCAAGCACAGTAGTCACTAAAAAGATAGGTTGAGGACTTTAAAGAGTTCATGCAGGACCATAAGCTTTCTAGCAAGTGCCTTCCATTCCTGTCTAGGGCAGCTCAGGCCCTCTTAGACCAACACTACTCAGTAGCATTCTAATCCTCTTTACACATAATCAAATAAATAAAAATCTAAAATATTTGTGGAGAGGGTTATTGGTGGAAGGGGAGCAGGAGGAAGTGGGAAACAAACCAGTCACAGTCAAGTTGTAGCCAACATCAATAGTAAAATCTGTAGGGTGATGAATATTTTGCACCTATAACCAAGAAAAGGGTAATAATAAAATGGTAAAAAAATTCATGTTTCCATACCATTTTAATTTCTGTTAACTCAACCAGTGTTAGCCTCTATAATTACCTGGGTGTTCAAAGTAAAAAAAAGTTGTCTGTAATTAGTATCTGGTTTCTAAAATATCTCAGAAATACTTTAAAAATGGCTGATGAAAAAAATCCTCCAAGTTAAATCACATAAAAAATAAAGACTAACATTTAGTGGATGTTGACTGAACCTATAAAATCACTGTCAATCTCAAGATTATCATACAGGTGCCTACATCTTATTCAGGACTGTTGTGACAAAACACTCTCATCCTGAACCATCTTGTAAAGGACACAAGAGCAATATCATGTAGGCCAACAATCCCTTATCTGAATTTTGGAGCCACACATGTTACAGAATTTAGATTTTTTTCAGATTTTAGAAAGGTAGCATTGTGTATGCACAATATATTACACTAACACCTCCAGTGAGGTCTATGGTACTGTACTGTAATCAAATACATTACATCTGCAGTGAAAAGTATGAATATTTACAAGTATGATAAGTAAATGCTACAAATAAACTCCTATCAGTTCCAGTCAGGTTTTACCATCAAATAAATTCATGCCAAACTTAGGAAACATCTTTGGATTTGTGAGCTTAACTTTCCAAAAGAGCGTGGACCCAATGTCGCTTACAAATAGGGGACTTATTTTCAGTCCAACAGCTCTACAAATCATTAGGAAAAGAAGTGATTTTTTTATACCACTCACAACAATTAAATCCAACCTACCAAGAAAAATACCCCTGGTAAAAAATAATAGTTCCTAGATATTTTTAGATAAGGATATAATAATAAGCAGAGTTGACCAAACACTTCTAAGGCAAAGATAGATCCTTGTGCACACTGACTAAAGCAAGCAATGCTATAATTAACAGCCCTGGGAAATGGAAAAAAGGAACTTTTCTTCTGGATTAACCTTGTAGAATTTTTTCTTAAGTAACTAAAAAGTACTCCTAATAATTTTCACCAATAAAAACATACAGTAGATATAAAAGAATGATCAAGTGGGGCACAAACGTGGGCTCCTGATCAAAACTGAGACCAATCCAACGTTGCTATTACTTGTAAATTTTACAGAATGTCAAAAATTTCTGCAATTTTGTTTTGGTTGTTGTTGCCAATGCCAATCGATTATTTTTAAAAGTACAGGGAAATTGATACTCTTTGATTCTGATTTTGTTTTGTTATCATACCTAAATAGAAAGCAGAATTTTAAAAAGATTTAAATGCTTTATATTTGTTAACATTATTAGAAGAATGTGAGATTTTTCCACGAATTAAATCCTAGTAGCTTACCCAACCCTTCATTCTCCAAATATATCACATTATCCATACTCCAACGGCTGGGATCAGGAATATATCAAATTTTATCTTTCTTTGATTTCTGAAAAATAACTTCTTCAACTGATTAGTCATAAGTTCTTTTTGGTACATACACACTTGAGGGATGGAGATAAACAATATTTAGTTATGGCACTACTTAGTAATAATGACACTGAGAAAATCACTGTCCTTGACTGTCTATAATTCTATTTTTGTAGGCTGTAATGAAAAACTTCCCATTCCTACCAATTCAAACAATGTTTCAAATCCATCACTCTTACAATCTTAAATAAAAGAAAAAAGTAATAACAGACTAGAGAAATAAACCAGATATTTCAAATACAGCTATTTTAGGCATAAGAACAGAGTTAATTCTAAGTCTACAATAAAAATGTTTACATTAGAACAAAAATCTTTAAAATGGAAATCCCTACCTCCTATTCAGTTAAATAAAAGGTAACCTTTCTCAAACACAATATATCAGGGTTTCCCTGGTGGCGCAGTGGTTGAGAGTCTGCCTGCCGAGGCCACAACAGTGAGAGGCCCGCGTACCGCAAAAAAAAAAAAAAAAACACAATATATCAAAACCTCTCTAAGCAATAGCTATTTCAGCTAACAGACAGTTAAATGTTTTACAGTTACAGAGATGAGAAACCAACCTTCAAGAATCCCTTCACAATATTCAATGCTTAAGTTTCCCCCATGATAAATATTAAATAATAAAATCAATATGATTTAATTCAAAGTTTTATGTTAACTTTGCACTATAAAAAATCATCTCTGTTCATCAACCTTAATTATTTAACTATTCTGTTTATTCATCTGGTGCAACAGTAATTAGGATTATAAATATATATAACAGATAACAGACAGATCACCAGTCTACTATTCAGTTATCATCTTGGAAACATTTTTAACTCATCTAGTATATCTCTTTCTAAAAAGCCAATCAGTCAACACAACTCATCTTCTACTTCTGACTCCAGTTCCAGCTGTGTCATTTTACATCTTCTTAGAGATCTAGAACAGTGGTTCTCAAGTGGGTACAATTTTCCCACAGAAAACATCTGGCAACGTCTAGAGACAGTGGTTGCCACAAAAGGGCAGGGTTAGGGTAGGGGTTAGGTACAGTAAGTACTACTGGCATTGAGTAGGTAGAAGACAGGGATGCTGCTAAACATCCTCCAATACAAAAGACAAGCCTTCACAACAAAGATTTAACCAACTCAAAATGCCAATATTGCTGAGATTGAGAAACACTGGTCTAGCATGTAAGACCTCAATTTGACCTCATTCTACTTCCCCAGGCTCATCTCTTCTACTACGCTTTTACTCGAAACCTGATCTCCATGTATAAATGATATTTTCCATCCTCCACATTTTTAACACCTAATGTTTCCCCTACCTAGGTTGCTTCTCTTTCAGTTCCTAGTTCAAGTCTCATCTCCTCAAAGAATCACTGTAAATCCAGTCTCAAGCAGTCCCATCTCCTTTGAAAGACCTGAACTACACAAGTGATTGATCATGCCTTATAACATCTATCTGCTATTTTATTTAATTATTCTAATATTATCATTATTTCTTTGTGAATTCACCATAACATCCAGCAAAGTGCTTTTAAACAAAGCTACAGTTGGTCAATGAACATACCTTGATCCACTTAGCCAAAGGAAGTTAAGCACAAAATACTACCAAGGCAAACTCTCAGCCTGACTCTCCCAGTTAAATTGTTTTCTGGCAGTTTGGACCAACTAAACTATGGCTCAAGATCTAAAATTAGCCATCTTACTATGGCTAGGGGGTTGGGAAGACACAGCACTGCTATTTTGTCTTGTTTAATAAAAGTAATATATGCACTTATTTTCATAATCAATCATTATGTAGATTACTAAATGTAATCAATCCTATCTTAAATGTCGCCTATCCTATACCCAATCTTAAGTCCAAGTCTCAAATATAAGCACTTTAACTAGGCCAAACCATGAAACTGCCAATAATCAATGGTCTTAGACCTATAAAGCTGATAATTTCATATGGTACCAGCTCACTTTTCTACATACAGTTCTTCTGGTGGTTACCACCATAACTCTAATACACTTACACACTGTTTTAGGACTAATTTGAAAATGTATTTATTGACTATCCTCAATCAAAAATGAGAAATTTAGCCCTACTTTCACATTAAAGATAAAAGATGATCTATTTTCAGTTCACAGTTTTCTAAAGGTAGAACCTGATAATTATTAACTGTTTATAATCACCTGCCAATCTTATTGGCAGGTCATTTTTGAATAACATTTATCTTTCTCTATGTTATCATCTGAGAAGCACAAAAATAAAATTATGTCTATCAGCAAGGGTGATAACTTTTCAGAAATGTCTATTATTTATTCCTATTTATTTATTTACTTTTTGACTGCACTCTGCGGCATGTAGGATCTTAGTTCCCCAACCAGGGATGGAACCCACATCCCCCGCACCAGAAGCTCAGAGTCTTAACCACTGGACCACCAGGGAAGTCCCTCTATATTTATTCTTAAAGCCAAACAGAAATATGAAGTTTTGCCATCAGAATCTCAGAATTCAAAATGAAAATCAGAAGAAACTGATGCACAGAATCAGTTAAAAATTGAGGGCCACCAATCTAACCATTTTAACATTAAGTTTAAAGGAAGTCAGTAGTTCATTGAGTTAGTCATGTCTACAGATTGTTCTGAAAGAAGCTATGATCAGAAAGATTATTATTAGCTATCATTAAAGCTGATTATTTAGCTATTATTTCTCCACCTCCAGTTTAATCACCTATTACTAAATAGGGTTGGGATCCCACAACTTCAGCATGTTTGGAAAACAGTGATAAGCCTAATGTCTTATTTCCTGTAAGAGTCCAACTGTCTTACACAGAGACGAGAAAGGATTCAAAAAGGAAACACTGGTAATCTAGAGTAAGCCAACATCTCAGCTATGGGAGACAACAATGCACCTTAACCAAGAGTGTAAAATACGACTCAATTTCTACTAATACCTATTTCAAACAAAATCATTCTCTTCTAAACTCTCAGTTATGATAACATATCAAGAACTACACAAATAAATTTGTGACCTTTGGGGCCCAGGAAGTAAATTACAAGTATAGCAGACTAGGTAACAGAAAGTATACATTTTTGAGTGCTTTTAGGAGATTCAAAAAAAAAATTATCGACCTAACAAAACTCATTCTACCACTGTCACAAGTAACAGATAATTCCCATCAACCATGATTAAGCTTTAACAAGGTCAGGTGTTTCTAATTTGCTTGATAGCAAAAATTATTTTGAGAAAGTAATTTGTATCATTAGTGATACATGTCAATAAACGAAAAGAGAAAAGTTACATACAAAGTCAGGATTTATTTTCATAAAAATAATTATGGAATACTTAAGGAAATTAAGCTTTGGAGTTTTTCCCTAATGGTATTCAAATTAAGTCATAACTTCTGAGACCTAACTATTTTTGTCAGTTTACAATCTCAACCATGACAAACCAAAGCTACATTCTAGCCAAGAATATTCTTTTCTGCCAACGTTTTCACCAAGAGCACTAAAATAGGTTTGAATTTTACTTCCTTTACCTTCCCTTTCCCTTCTTTGGAAGTACCAAACAACAGTAAACGAAATGGGAGATGAAAGAGCTGAGAAGTAAAGGTTTAAAAAAATTGATCAAGATAAACTTAACTTTTGATTGCTGGAAGTAACCTCAATTAGTCACCTTGATACAGTGTAAGTAGTTTCAATTTAAGATTACACCTATCTACTTTTAGGATCTAAGCAATAAAAAGATTCTAAATGTTGGGAGTCAAAAGAATTGGATTAGATCCATTTAGGCCTAAGAGGCCTCATGCAAATTCCTTAAACTCAGTGCACCTGTTATTTGTCAAATAATATCTCCTCGACAGAGTTACTGTAAAAATTAAATGAGATTGTGGAAACAAAAAGTTCTTGGTAAATCACAATGCAAATTCTGCTTGCTGATGCCATTAAAAGTAAAATAGTAACAAAACACAACCAAATTTCATCCCTTCCTACCATACTGAACAGAAAAAAAAAAAAGAAAGAAAGAAAGAAAAGAAAAAGAAAAACCAGAGGAAAGGAGAGAGGTATGACTAAGCATCAAAAATTCTCTGGAAGATTATTTTAAAACTGTTAAAAAGATAAAACTGAAAGGGCTCTAATTTCTCACTTTATTTACATTTCTGTCAAAAGGGACAGAATTAAGTAATTTTTATTGTTCATGTATTTGTATTTTTCACATAAAATATTTAAACATAATTTGTATTTCTCAGATTCCTGCAATGAAAACTTTATATGTATATATGTGTGCATGTGTGTGAGTTACAATGAACAGAAGATAAAAGGAAAACCACACTTTTCTGTTTTTCAATTTTGTACCATGTGAATATACGACTCTTTAAAGAAGTTTATTGTTCTTAAAATCACAAAATATAACAAGCAAGCACGCATACTTTGTACCTCATATTTTTAAAAGGCCCAATCCACAAGATCCAGCACCTACCAAGGTACAACTTTTTTTGGTCAATAGAATAGAATAGAAATTCTGGTAAAGGAGCTAACAGACAAAAAGCAAAACTCCCCTCAAGAGGATGCCAAGTGATCTGAAAAGAGAACAACTCTGTTCCTGGGCTGTTCATGGCTCATGTTATTCTCAGGATGTCACTCTACTTCAGGATATCTCTAGATTTTTTTCCCCCTCTGTCCATAAAATAAGCATGAATATATTTTAAAGTAAAGAACAGAGAAAACACTTTTGCATCTTTGTATCTTTTTGTTTGTTTTTTAATAAGGTATAGTTGATTTACAGTATTACTGCATCTTTGGAATAAGGCCTTCTCTGATAATTATCTAAGTATCAAAAAAACAGAAGCAGTGACAGTATCTAGTGATACGATCTTAGGGAAAGGTGGGAAACAAACAGAAAAAATAAAGTTTATGTGCTTTAACTTTATATTGGCATTTTAATTAAACGTATTCTTTTTAAGAAAAGTCTGAAAATCAGCTCAACTGCAGAAAGCTGGGAAAAGGGAAGCGAGAAGGAAACATTTACCTGAAGCATCTCCAACTTTAAAATCACTGTCATCTGAACTATCATAATCGAGAGCTTCTAGCAGAGAAGCTGCCAAAGGCTTCACCTGCCTCCTCTTGGAGCTGCGATCCACTGTTAAGAGAAAAACATTACACCGTCATTCATAATCACGCCAAGCACGGGGGAGAGCTGTGGTACTGAGGGAAGGTACAGATGACCTCGTGCAGGTGGTGCAAATCTCTGTCTTAATTCAGTTCTCAGCAAAAGGTGTGGGCGAAGGTTGGGGTGGGAACAGTGGCTGGGGAGGGCCGGGCAGATCCACGGGCAGCTCCAGCCCCGAGGTGCAGCAAAGACGAACCCAGGCCGACCAAAATCGAAACTGGCCCTCTTGAACATCTTGCTTCTGAAACTCGCTTGTAATCCCTTACTTACACATCGTAACAGTCAATAGAAATTGCAAAGCCCAGGGAATATGAGAAGCTATGTTCATTCCCACGGACCGTGGAGGGAGAGCGTCCACGAAGGGTCCAGCTTCCCGCAGGACACTCCCACCCCCGCCCTGCTCCAGCCGGCCCTGACTTCTAGAAGGGCTGAAATGGACCTGTCGCCCCGCGGACGCCTCCGACACACTTACTAAGGAATCCGAGGTGGTCGTTTGGAGTAGACCTAGGGAGAGGCTGCGAGAGCCCAGGCGGCGCCGAGGTCGAGGACTGAGACCAAGGAAACGAGTCCAAAAGATGCTATTAAAAATAGGCGGCGCCGCGGACCAGACCGGGGCGCCCCAGGTGCAGCCCCGCGGTTCCCCTCCCGCCCCCCGGCCCCTGGTCCTCGCAGAACCGACCCCGGCCGCTAGCGCGCCTTCCTTTGGCGCTTCCCCGGCCAAAGGCGCCCTCCGGCCCAGGCAGCGAGGCTAACCCGGCAGCCCTGGGGAGTTAACTTCCCCTGTTAAAACTCTTAGAAAAAAAATAAACGAAAGAAAAACTTTATTAGCCTGCAACAAAAGCAACAAAAGACTCAAAATTTACACAATCCGAGGCCGCTTGCCTAAAACAATAGGGAAAGCAACGACCCGGATACAGCTCTGAAGAGAAGGAAGTGAAAACACCAGGCAGAGAGCGGCCCTAAGAGCAGCAGGGGCCGAGGGCGCGTGCGCCGGCCTCGCCTCCACTCTCCCTCAGGGAGGAGGAGCCGAACGGAGTCGGAAGGAACCGAACGGAAGCCGAGAGGGAGCCAAGAGGAGCCGAGCAGTGCGAGGGGGGAGTAGAGAGTTCTAGACTCTCGGCCAATAAGTCCCTGAGGCCCGGCCTTCAGTCCAAATCCGTGGAAGGCCAATTTTTGTGTCTGACAACACGGAGCAGGCTGTGTGTCCCCATGAATGTGGAATAGTGCCTTGCATACGTTTAGAGAATTTATTTTATAAGGAGAATTTTTTAATCCGTAAAAATATGAGAGTATGTACAATCGGATGTCAGGCCTTCAACAGTTTCAAACGCCACGTTTATTCACATACAGGTTATTTTTAAAAACAATGTTAAAATGTTAGAATCTGAGCAGTATTAATACTTTCTAAATGTTTTTATATCAAGGATAGAGGAAGATTTGAATGAAGCAGATTCAATTGATTCATTTATTCCCCAGATATACATTGAGTGGTAATGTTTGTAACATGGGGAAATACCGTGTCACAAAGGACTGTAAATGAAATATATAGGAATCAAATCATACATTGCAGTAGTGGCGCTTATTCTTTAAAGAAAACGTGTTGAATTCTTTTGTAAACAGGAATTAAATTTTATAACATTACATTTGAAAAATTAGTAAATACCTATATAGTACAAGTCATGGGATGATTACATACAGGCTGAACCTTCAGCAAGAAAGTTATCTTTTCCCTGCCAGAGCTTAAGGTACAGTTGAGGATACAAAGAAGTCAGTGAGCAATTGCTATCTATTGTGAAAAGGACTGCCAGAGAAAAAGTACACATGCTAAGTCTTCCTGGAGAAAGTTATATTTAGATCCAGACATAGTGTCTGAACTGGCTGGAGAAGGGAGAAAAAGAGACAGAGGTTCCGGACCAAAGAAAGGACATGTGCAAATGATCAGGATGAAGAGAGTATGACTAGTCAGATTCCCTGAAAGCTGGACTACCTCTAATGCCTCAGGATATTCCACCACAATAGTAGTTACTGCAACCTCATATTTCTGTGTTCTTAATCACTGCTAAAAATGCAGTCTCTCTGACCCTCCAATCTCTCTGAACCTTTAGCTCCCTGACCCAAACTACCACTGCTATGTACCTGCTCAAATCTTTCTATCGTGCTGAGGAAACTTCCATTCCAAAATTTTAAAACCTTAGTAAATCCTTTTCCCTTTCAATGATCGTTCTTGTACCTCCTTGTATAAAGTGAAAAGTTACCCTGCAGCCCCCTCAGATGGAAGCCTCTCATTTTCTCAACATCCAAATGTGGCATCTGGTCCTTAATGTTCCCCACTGCCTTTCAGATCTGTTATTTCTCCAGTCAAAAGCCTAGCAACTTAAATATTTAAACAACACTCCAGGAACTTCATTTCCATTCTACATGCTTCAAACATTAACCGTACTATGGATTGTTTAATCCCTGAAATTATAAAACCAAACATTCCTCTCTCTGACAACCTCCTACATTCATTGGGAGGAATTATTCTGAATTATTTAAAAGGGAAAAGAGAGATTTCTAAAGCTGGCATTCAAGTTTCTATAAGAGAAAATCTTAGAAGTAGATTTCCTCAATGAAAATACATAAACCATTTAATTTTATAAATACTGCTTAATTGTTCTCTAAAAACAGGCTGTATTAACATATATTACCACCAAGAGTTCGTGAGAATTCTCTCCAATTTTCCAAACTCCTCATCATTGACTATTAGCAATCATTCTTTTAACTTTTAAAGTAATTTTAGATTTATTGAAGTACACAAAGATAATACTGAGTTCCTGTATATTCTTCACCCAGCTTCCACTAATGTCAACATCTTGCATAACCCTGGAACATTTACAAAACTATTAGTTTTTATTTATTAATATTAGTACAATATTATTAAGTAAAATTCGAATTTCACTAGTTTTTCCACTAACGTCCTTTTCTGTTCCAAGACCCAATTCAGGAGACTATATTGCATTTAGATTGACAACCTTTTTAAACTTTGCAATCCATGTGTTAAAAAGAAAAAAAAAAGGAATGAACAAAGGGAGGGGGAGAGGGAAGGGGAAGGGGAGAGTAAAGTGAAGGAAAGAAGGAAGGAAGGAAAGAAAGAAAAAAGAAAGGATTTTAAAATAGCTAATTGCTTTTTCGATGTGCATTTAATAAATATGGAAGAGACTGACAGTTGTCTCCCAGTACCTTTTATCCCTTTCTTCTTCAAAAATGAAAGCCCTAAATTTTAAATAGGCACAAGCTTTCCAAGAATAAAGACTTCATTTCATAACTTGAAGTTATGTGCAGTTATGTAATGATGTTCTGGCTAATGCAATGTTAGTAGAAGAGGTATGTGCAACTTCCAGGAGATGGCATTAAATTTCTTCCCCCTTTTCTAGTCCCCTTTTTTTTTTTCTTGCCTAACTCCCTTTGCTAGAACATCCAGTATGCTATTGAACAAAAGTAGGGAGAGTTGACTTCCTTGTTTTGTTCTGATCTTAGGAGGAAAGTTTACAGGTTTTTGAGAAAACTTACATATATAAGAATATGTTATAGGTGTACAGCATTATAATTTGACATCAGTATACACTTCAAAGTAATAGCCACCACAAGTTTAGTTACCATCCATCACCATACAGTTGACCCCCTTCACCCATTTCACCCACTCTCCAACCTCTTCCCCTCTGGTAACAACTAATCTGTTCTCTGTATACATGAGTTTGTTTTTGTTTTATTTTGTTAGTTCATTTGTTTTGTTTTTTAGATTCCACATATTCGTGAAATTATATGGTATTTGTCTTTCTCTGTCTGTCTCATTTCACTTAGTATAATACCCACAAGGTCCATCTGTGTTGTCACAAATGGCAGGATTTCATTTTTTTAATGGCTGAGTAGTATTCCTTTGTGTGTGTGTGTGTGTGTGTGTGTGTGTGTGTGTGTGTGTATATATATATATAGTTGACCCCTGAGCAACTCAGAGGTTAGGGGCACTGACCGCCCCCTCACCTTGCAATCAAAATATGAGTACTGCTATCTCTACCTCAAAAACAAAGAAGTGGATAAATGACTCACCCAAGGGCAGGAAGCAGAAACAGTTCGGATAGAATCAGGACTTAAACTTTAGGTCCTTTGATTCCACATATTGTGATCTCTAATTGAATACAAACTTTTCCCCACACTTAAAGATCTCTAAAAAGAAAATATAGGTACTATATTTATTGAAAAAAATCTGAGTAGAAGTAAACCTGTACTGTTCAAACCCGTGTTGTTCAAGGGTCCATTGTATATACCACAATTTCTTTATCCATTTATCAATCAATGGACACTTAGGTTACTTCCAATCTTGGCTATTGTAAATAATGCTGCAATGAATATAGGGGTACATATATCTTTTGTCAATCAGTATTTTCATGTTCTTTGAATAAATACACAGAAATGGAATAGCTGGGTCATATGATAGTTCTATTTTTAATTTTTTGAGGAATTGACATACTGACCCTTTCTCTCTCTCTCTTACTTCTGGGACCCCTATAGTGGGAATGTTATTTTGCTTGATGTTGTCCCAAAGGCTTCTTAAGATATCTTCACTTTTTAAAATTATTTTCTCATTTTGCTGCTCTGTCTGGGTGAGTCCATTACTTTGTCTCCAGTTCACTGATTCACTCCTCTACCTCATTCAGTCTACCATTGAACCCCTCTAGTGTATTTTTCAGTTCAATTATAACTTCCATTTGGTACTTTCTTATATTTTCTATCATCTCCTTGTTGAAGTTCTTGCTGTGCTCACCCATTCTTCTTATGAGCTTGGTAAGCATTTATATGCCCATTACTTTGAACTCTTTATCAGGTGGATTGCTTATCTCAATTTTGTTGAGTTCATTTTCTGAGGGTTTGTCTTGTTCTTTCAATTGGAACATATTCCTCTGTTTCCTCATTCTGTCTAATTCTCTGCATTCATTTCTTTGTGTTAGGTAAATCAGCTACCTTTTTCAGTCTTAAGAGAGTGGCCTTGTGTAGGAGATGCCCTGTTGGGCTCAGAAGCACAATCCCTCCCGGCCAACAGAGCCAGGTGCTCTAGGGGTGTCTCCTACGTGGGCTGCTTGTGCCGTCCTTTTGTGGTGATGCCATGACTGCCGCACAGTGCTGGTGGGCAAAGCTACCGCCGAGCCAAGGAACAGGGCTGGGCAGGGCTCTCAGTGGGGTTTGACCTCTGGTGCTGACAGTTAAAGGGAGAGTAGTTTCAAAATGGTGCCTGCCAGTGCTGGCGAGATTGCAAAAAATGGCTCCTGCCAGTGTCTCAGTCCCTGGGGAATGTCCCAACTGGTTCCTCCTTCTCTGGTAGATACTCCAATATTACTAAATGTATCCCCTTTATCTATGGTCCATGCACTTTTTAATCTGGTGTTTTTGTGCTAGTTTTTGGGTCAATTGAGTCTACACATGGGCCCTCTAAGAGCAGGTTTTCCATTCCCTCCATAAAGCCATAAAACTATAAAGTTTTATAGTTTTCCCGGTTGTGTTCTCCCCACCCCCCATTGGTTTTCAAAGCTAGGTGTTTGAGGGCTCATCTCTCCTGTGCAGTATCTAAGGGTTGGGATGCCTGATGTGGAGCTCAAATCCCTTGCTCCTCAGGGAAAAGATTAGTAACTTTATAATCCCTCCTCATTGTGGATCACCACGGCTCAGGTGTAACTTTTTTTCCCTTGGTGAGACCGTATTTCTGCCGCTCCTACGCATCTTAATGTTGTCCTTTTACCCTTTCTTGTGTAGGTTCTGTTCATCCAGTTTTTAGGTCCCTTTAAGAGGGAATTAGTCCATATGTAGTTCTAGATTTGTTGTGTCCATGGGAGGAGGTGAGTTCAGTATCTTC